GCTCGCTTAACCCCCTCTGCTCTTATTTCATGATATATATATATTACTGTCAATAACTTCTGAGACACTTTGTGGACTGATTTAAGGCAGTTTTTGAACAAATAAATGGGGGAAACTGATGTTTTTCTTCTGTGTGTAGGGGGGAAGGTGAGTCCCTGTCAGAGGTGCGTGTGGGTCTGATGACGTATGACAGCAGGATCCACCTGTACGACCTGAGTCCCGACCTCTCCCGTCCCCACATGCTCGTGGTGACGGAGACGGAGGACCTGCAGCTCCCCGTGAGGGGTGGGCTCCTCGTGTCCCTCAAAGACTGTCTAGAATCCCTCAGCAGGTAACACCCCACCGACTGCTCTGCCCTGACCGTATGCAGCCCGTTTTCTCCAGTTACAGACACCCAGATGCTGCTGTAACATGCAAAATTATTGTCATAGTGATGAAAAATGTAATATTGTGTCTACTCTGTAAGTCGCTTTGGATAAAAGCGTCTGCCAAATGCATAAACATAAACATAAACATAAAATCCAGGTGAGGGGATCAGGAAGGGGGGGGTGAAATCATGCCGGTGGGGGGGGGGTTTCTGTGTGGAGTTAGCAGTGTGTAGCCTTCAGTAGTGCTGTCTGAATCAATTCACCCCTCAATAACTATTTTATGGTTATAAGAATCATCTTATTAAATTTAAGATTATTAAAGTATTTCTGATTCTGATTCTGATTTTTATAATGTCGAAACATAATAAAAAGGGGTGCTACAGCTGCCGCCCCCCCCAAAAAAGCTAAACATCAATAATATCCTCATAAACTTGCAATATTATTTGGGAAAAAAGCAACATTTTACTCATCAGAAATTCAGATTATTTGTAGACAAAATCCATCCTCCTCTCTTTACTCAAAAAGACTTGACTGCTTCCTCTCTTTGCTGGTTGAACTTTATTTTGAAAGCGTCATTAACAGAGGACAGCGCATTCTCAGAGTGGGCAGCAGCTGTCACCATTTGTTTACATCTAATTAGTGATACTTTGTTCGGAATTTCAAGAAGAAAACTCACACATTCTTGGGGTTATTTGGCCGTATCTTGCGGGTCTCCTAACCTAATCTTTTGACCTTCCTCCCAGTGTGTTGCAGCTCATCCCGCAGTTCAGCGTAGACGGTGATGACTCCAGTGGAGTTCCAGTCGACCTGCCAGTGAAAGCGGGCCTCGCCGTGCTGCAGGTGAGACTGAAAAGAGGGCTAATGCTCCAAGTCTCTTTCGGAGAATTGTTGCCTCACGATTAATAATCGTAATCCTGATTAATCCTGATTTTCTGACACTGTTGCGTAGGGCCTCGGGTGTCCCGGAAAGCTGCTGATCTTCCATTCTTCTGGCCTGATTGAGACGGTTAACTCAAACTCCTCCTCCGGGTTCTTCGGCACCAACAAACCAAAGGTAGGCATAAATCAATAAATCAATTAGTAATAGCGAGCACAGAAAATGTAAGAGTAGGCAATTTGAAGTAAATGTTAATAATATGAAATGTAATAGATGCTGACATCTGAGCTCTCTGTAAAGGAAGGAGGGAGCAAGCAGAACATTCTTAATAATAATAATAATAACTAGAAAAAATATTACAAAGAATGCCTATTTTTCCTCATCAGATGGTTATCAATTTTTATAAATTCATATGATGTGATTTTCTGGAATTTTCTTTGGGATTCTGTCTTTCACTGTTAGAATGTACATATGATTAAAGTTATAGATCGTTGCATTCTTTGGAAGTGGGCAAACCTGAAAAATCAGCAAGGGGTCAAATACCTATTTCCCCCACTGTATTTCTGATACTGCATCTGATTCTTAACGGCAAGACGTTTCGCCACTTTAGTTTGACTCGTGTTCCCTCGGTCTCTCAGTCCATCTTTCAGCCGTCGGAACAGGCCATCTCATTGGCCAAAGAGTGCGTCCGGCAGGGCTGCGGCGTTCACCTGTTTGTCCTCTCCCAGCACGATGTGGGCGGGGCCTGGCCGGGCCACGTCCCGCACCTGACAGGCGGCGCCTTGCTCTGCTACAGCCATCTGCAGGTGCGTGAAGAGCTGCTCCAGATTCATCCATCCATCCATCCATCCATTATCAATACCGCTTATTCCCTGATGGGGTCGCGGGGGGAACTGGAGCCTATCCCAGTGGTCAATAGGTGAAAGCCGAGGTCACCCTGGACAGTCCACCAGTCCATCACAGGGCCACACACAGAGACACACAAGGACCAACAACCACTCACACTCACTCCTAAGGGCAATTTCCCCAATCTCCAATCAGCCTAACATGCAGGTTTTTGGACTGTGGGAGAAAGCCGGAGAACCCACGCAGACACAGGGAGAACATGCAAACTCCACCCAGAAAGGTCCTGGTTCCCCCAATTCCATTCAAAAGTTTATTTCAAACATGCACACATTTCAGAACATACATAGTGACAAACAATGCAAATGCATGGCTTGAAAAGGGGACGGAAGAAGCCGAAGCTTATGCATGTCCATCCCCTCCCGCTCATCCCAGGGACACTCACTAAGACCTGTAAAGAAAAAACAAAGACAAGACAAACAACACATCCACACTCATGCATACAGGACACAGAGACAACCCACTGGCCCAACGCTCCCCCCCCTACACCACACCGCCCTCATAGAACATCACTCACTCTCTTCCAGGTATTTATACTCAGGACATTCCGCTTAAATATTTTTTTGAAACGGTTTATGTTTTCACAACACTTTTGTTCCTCCGCTATAATATTCCAGAGGGTGACACCACGACTGGAGATGCACATTTGTTTCAATGTAGTTCTTATTTTTGGTTTGTATAATCAATTTTCGCCTCTAAGATTATAAGTGCGAAGTGCCTCCCGTTCCTGAAAGAGTTTTAAAACATTTTCTGGAAGAGAGACAGATGACGCTCTGAACATTATTTGCGCAGTTCTTAAGTTTACAAGATCAACCAATTTTAAATTGGAAGATTGTAGAAACGGTGGTTATCACTATGAACACCCGGCCTGTTTCCATCACATCTCCCCGGCAGGGGGAGCCGGACAGAGAGCGTTTCAGCGCAGACCTGAGGCGAACGGTGGAGACGGACACGGCCTACAAGGCCGAGCTCAGGATCTTTGTCAGCAAAGGTGAGCCTCGTCTCAGGGAGGGTTGTCACGATACTAAAATGTTCAACTGGATACCGATACTCAGGGAAATATTCAATACCATTTTCAATACCACAAGGATAAAAACTTTGTCTCTTCTTCTACAGTTTCTTATTGAGATAAATGAAAAATGACCGAAAATTAAAGCAAATTCTAAAATGTCCCTCCAAATGTCACAGCTAAATTCAAAATTGTATCGTTCTTCCACTATCTTATTTAAAAAAATGCATCCTCTTTTATTTGTACATTAGTGATGTCACAATACTAAAATGTTCAACTCGATACCGATACTCAGGAAAATATTCGATACTCGATACCATTTTCGATACCACAAGGATAAAAATAAAGACCCCAAAATTTAACTGAATTTCGACAGGTTATTGTCTTTGGTTTCAAACTGACCTGTTACTGATGTTATGGTGGCCCACATTAATGACCCTAACCCTAATCCTAACCCTAGCCCAAACCCTGACCTTAATCCTAACCCTCCATCCTTCAGTATTATGAGAAATAAATATTTTTTCGTTAAACTTGTTTGGACTAGCAGTTTTCTCAGGTGGAAACGACACTGTACTGTTTATACGAAATTAGAAAACAAACAATGTCCTAAACCTAACCCTAACCCTATACTCCACCCTTCATAATTGTGAGAAATAAATATTTTTGGGTTAAACTTGTTTGGACTTATTGTACAAACCTATTTAACATACGCTATGTATAGGATATCCGTCCTTGGCTTCCTGCAGTCTGCAGCCAGACGGACTTGATTAATGTTGGCGTGTTATTATTATTAGCCATTAGCCTTTAGCCATTAGCCGCAGCTAGCAATTCAAGGCTAACGTCATGCTAATGATCATAAACAACGTAAACAAATAAATCAGAGAGAATAGATACTTTAGAAAATGAGTATTGTATTCGGATACGACATTTTCGTTTTGACACTTTTGACAACCCTAGTCTCAGACCTTTATTCTCAAGTTACACCTGACCCCCCATTTCCGTTCCTGTTTCGGCAGATCTGCGTGTGTCCGGCTGTTATGGGCTGTTTGTGCCCGGTCCGAGCCCTGGACACGTTGCCATGGCGACCCTGGACAGGAGGACCACGCTGGCCGCGGAGCTAGCTTACACCAGAGCTCTGGATGAGACCAGAGGTGCAGCCATACAGGCGAGTGGAGGCCATAGCTATGACCAAAGAGTGGCTGATCTCTACTAGATAGTCACCCGTCTTTCATTCATGTCGTTCCACATTATTCCGTCTCTTCTGAATTAAATACTTTAAACACGAAGCATGAAATGTGAATACAGTGAACCTTCGTTTTTTCGCGGGGGTTACGTTCCAAAAATGAAGTAGTAACCTTTATTTTTTACAATTATGAGAAAAATGAAATACTCCATGATACATTGAAACCAAAGAACAAAACCTTTTTAAAGTCCCAAGCATTTGTTGAACAAATAAAAGTACTGTATAAAAGTTTTTTTTTACAAATAACTACTGTACTGTAAAATAATAATTTTAATCATCAATATGAACTGAAGGATTCAAATTCCTTATTAAAACTTATTGCTGCTGTCGTTCTTATGTTATTTTCCTCATTCTTTATGGAACAAATGGAAGATTAATTAATTCCATAATGGCGACCTACAGCCGCTAGCTTCTACCTTCCTGTAGCACGTCCAGAAGTTTACGTTTTTCTGTTTATAGTTAGCATCTTCCTCTGCCTTTTGGGCAGAATCTGCAAAATTTAAATATTGGCGAGGCGTTTTACGTACGTGTTCATATGAAACCGCAAACTTACTGACACAGGTAGAGAAGAAGACAATCAGTATAGCCAATCTGTATAGTAGTTTGTGTCAAAGGTGTTTGATCCGAAAATGTTTTCCAAACATCTGTAATCTGTTCCCCTGCTGCCTGCCAGGTGGTTTTGTCTTACAGCAACCAGGCAGGAGAGAAGAGGACCAGGGTTCACACTCTGACTCTGCGCTGCTCACGCCACCTTCAGGACACTTTCAGGAACTTCCAGGCCCAAACGCTGCTCGCCTTTTACTGCAAGAAGAGTAAGGAAAGCACCATGAAACAACCTGATAGAACCAGCATTGTGTTATCACTGTTGTCAGCCCCTTTATATCCATTTCCCATA